TAATTATAGTTTAACTATTCTCATGTCCTATTGGTGTGTTTTTTGTAATTATTTACAGATACGATCATCTTTTGTACATCTATTTCACCATATCAATTAAATGGTTACTCATTTCCCATTAAAAAAAAGATCACATGAAGTTATTCTTCTCTCCAAAATTACAAATTTGTGTAAAATGACTTTAATGTGCACAAGAACATTAACCTTAGTCAAATTTGGGTTGGTGTTGGCATCTGAAAAAAGATAGAGGAAAAGAATAGTAAAAAAAAGGGCATGAGTTACTTACAATTGCGAGTTTAATTGACACTTCTCTCTATCAATGATCCATGAAAATATTTCACTTCTCTAACGTTGATGTGGGGTTATGAGTTAAAAAAAGGTTCGTCCAATGCGGTAAATAATTTCATGTGGCTATATTGGGCAAAAAGAGACTGACACAAATAGAATGAAGTTAGAAACCTCCTTGGAAAGGTTGCCTCGAAGATAGAATGCAAAGAAGCGATGCCCACATGGCTTAGAAGAGTCTAAACACTCACAATAGAATACCAAGAAGAAATTTCTACCTGGTTTGCTCCGACTTTAAAAAGGATGAAGAGATTTTGAACATCTATTCATTCATTATGACCTTGTCGTTAAGGGTTGTTGTCCATGTTGAAGATCTGGGCGCAATTGTTGTTCTCCAGAGGGTACTGCAGATTGACTCTATGAGTTGCTTTGATGATTTTTGGCTAATGTACAGCATATTACTTCCACTTGGAATGCCTCAATCTGGATTTTTGTAACTATCTCTACGGAATTACTAGAGCTTTTTGAATGATTTGGACTAAAGAAATTTTTCTGACCTCCTTAGCTGAAGGAATGTCCCTTCACTCGGGCGTTTAGGCTTGATTCCCTATGGTTTTGACGATATCTTTTGTTTCTTATATTAAAAAAAGACTTGAATTATTTCCTCTATTACATTCTGAAGTAGTATTTATTTATACATTTATTTGTGGCAATACGATCTTGGCTTATCTCATGTTTTGGTGTCACACGTTACAGTTCACGCTCATCATGGTGTTCTGAGTTGCAACTTTACTAGTTTATTTGACTTTTTAGGCAATGGTTGCTCGAGGAGACCTTGGGGCTGAACTTCCAATCGAGGAAGTTCCTTTATTGCAGGTAAATCTCCGTTATTAGTATTCTCTCACCCATCACTTTTCCGTTGTGCAACGTTAGTTCCAGATTAACCTTTTTATTGACTTAAATTGTTTGTGTGTTGACATAAAAAAGAAATACTATAATTGGCGTTGATCATAAATTATTACAGAATTTTGAGAAGAGTACACCAGTTAGAAGCCAAAGCTAGCTTCCAAACACCTTATGATCTCCTGCATTATATCTTCTAAGTCTGATTTTGCTCTACCCATCTCACAAAAATACCCTTGACAGCTGGACCGGAGAGTTTTAGATTTTTCTTTGAACATATATGTCCACAAAGTCATTGGTGTTAGGATTCACTATTGTGTCAAAAACAATAATGCAAACTGAAGCAACCTAGCAACTTGATCCAACAATTGCAGACAGAAGGACAGTGAAAAAAAAAGGTGAGCGTGGTCTTCTAGAGAGATGTTTGCACGTAATATACTAGTCAGGGAAAGTGATCCACAGGAAAAATTCATTTAATTCAGTTAACAGAATGATAAAATGAGCCAAAAATAAACCCAAGGGTGTTTCAAACTATTTTTAAAATATTGGAGTAAGGTTTGTAAATTTTGCCGATATTTGTGTCATGCGTATAAATTATATATCCCTTTATATTTGTTTAAACTTTCCAAGGAGAGAAATTGCGACGTCTTGTACTTTGATGTAAATTGCAATTTCTGATTCCCTGTAATTCCTAGAGGGTTAGGATTGGTTAAATATTAAAAAATGATTGCAAAGATAATTTTGTCAGGAAGAAACATTTGTTTCAAGTACTAAGTTCTTTTTTTTTTTTTTTTTGGGTAAGGAATTCATAGTCAGATTCCAAAGTTTAAGATTGTTGGTCAAATAATTTTAAAATTGTAAGACACAAAGATAGAAATCCATCTTTTTCCATATATTGAAGTTTCTCTGGAAAGGAGTACAGTTCAGAATCAAATAAATTGATGCTAGAGATGGAACACGAGTATTAAGCGTTAAAAGGAAATAAAATGATTATACTTATCTATATTTGGGTAATAAAAAATAATAGTACTGCAGTCGAGGATTGTAAAACTAATAGGATTAACATTTTATCATATGTCATCATATAACAGTACTTCATATTACTTTTCTGTCAGGAAGATATTATCAGAAGGTGTCATAGCATGCAGAAACCTGTTATTGTAGCAACAAACATGTTGGAAAGCATGATTGATCATCCCACACCAACTAGAGCCGAGGTTTCTGATATTGCTATTTCAGTACGAGAAGGTGCTGATGCAGTCATGCTTTCAGGAGAAACTGCTCATGGGAAGTATGCATCTTACTCCATTATCTGGGAAGTTATTATTATTTTTATTGTTTGTGGCAGCAATTTTGTTTATTAACGAAGTTATTTAATCAAAACCCATTTTGTCCACTTGGGACCTTTTGGTACTGAATGAGGCCCTTTGGTTTTTCAGTAACGTAGAAGGCAATCAATCTCTAGATGTTTTTGTTTCTTTTGTTGATGTATCTGCGTTTTGCAAGTATTAAAATACGCCATAGCCAGTATGCATTATGCTTATGTCCGTTTTTTTCTAATTTATTGGAATTGGTGAAAGAGTTCCATCATTCTTGATATGTCGCAGCATCGTTCCAACATTTTGTGTCCAGTAGTTCTGCTATTGATTTTCAAGTTATTGTTAAATGTCGAAGAAGTTCAATCTGTTTTCTGTTTACTGATTCTATAAAAAGTACTTTTTTTTTTTTTTTTTTTCATT